GCCCGCAGGGGGGCTGTGGGAGTGCCGCAGATGTCCTGGGGGGGCTGCAGCAGGGATGGGAGCGATGGGTGCTGTGATCCAAGGGTGTTCTGGGGGCTGGGACGGTGCTGGGGGTGTCGCAGATGCGCCAGGGGGGCCCTGGGGGTGTCGTTGCCAGGGGGACAGGGGTGATGACGCTGGGCCATCACCACGGGATGCCCCTGCCCACAGCCGGGGGTGGGGGCGATGCCATCGGCAGTTTCTCTGGGAACCAGGGGCTACCCCCGGATGGGGGCCGGGGGGAGCACTGATCAGCCCCCCCACATCCCACCTCGCGGCTGGTTTACGTCAGCCGGGCCCACCTTCATGCAGGGGAGGCTCCCTGGGGGCTGGCCTGGCCTGGGGGACCGCAGTGACGGGGGACCCTCCCTGGCCCCGGTGCTTGGGGGTCGGTGCCCAAGGGGGTGGGTGGGCACCCGTCCATGTGGGGTGCAGGGGCCAGGAGTCGGGGTGGTGGGGAACTGGTGCGGGTGCTTTTATTGCCCCCCAGCCCTTTTTGCTCCTTTTTCTCCTGTGCCCCAGAGATGGGGAAGTGGGGAGGGGGGGTGGTTTGGTGATGGAGGAGCAGCGCCAGCCCCCCCTGCAGCACGGCCCAGCGCTGCCTCCCCTCCCGCCTGGCCCCGTCTGTGCCCCCCAGCCCGGTCCAGCTGCCCCCACCCCTCCCGAAAGGGCTGCCAAGCCGGGACAGACGCCCGGTCCCTGCTGCCAGGCCGGGCCCATGCGGTACCGCTGACACAGGTGGAAGAGTTGCCCGGGCGTGAGTCACTCGTGCCGCAGCCCCCGGCCGCCACGGAGCACCCCTGCAATGAGTTGTGTTTGGTCTCAGACCGGGCAAGAAGCTGTAACCCTGGGGTGGGGGGGCTGGAGGTGCTGATGCCTCCCCCCCAACCCCATCTCTTCCCGCAGTGGCCGTGGACACGACGCTGTGCGTGGAGTGGAAGGAGGTGAAAGCGCTGTCGCCGCTGAGTGCCGCCCGCCCGCTGCCCCGCCTGGCACGCCAGGCCTCCTTCGACAGCCAGGACTTCCTCCAGGTACCGCTGAGACCACCCCTGCACCTCCCGGGTACCGGTACCCGATGGTGGGACCCCCGTCCTGGCCGTGGCCGGGGGCATGGTGGGCTCCCTCGCCCGCCCGGCCGGCCCTGCCAGCTCGCAGCCGGCGCTGGGGCTGCTCTGACGTCAGCCGGGAGCCGGGCTGTATCCTGGGAGAAATCAGTCCACGGTGCCTCGTTGCCATGGCAATGCGATTTGTTGCGCGCCTCCAAATCCCGCATCGCTTCCCCCCGTGGCCACGGGCTCGGGGCCCAGCGTGGTCAGGACGGGCAACGGGGACGGGGAGTGGGTGGTCCAGCGCGGTGGGGGCTGCTGGGGAGTGGGCACTTGGGCACGCAGCCATGGTGGCCTTGCACACACGTGTGTGCACAGGGTGGGGAGGACACTCAGAGCACTGGTTAGCACAGGTCGTGCGTGTGAGCGGTACGTGTGTGCATGGAGTGAGCACGTGTGTGTGTGCTGTGAGTTCACGTGTGTGAACTCTAGAGAACTCTACCTGTAGTGAAAGTGTGTGCGTGTAAGTGTGCATATGTGTTTAGGGTCTGCGTGTGTGTACAGGTGGTGATGTGAGCGGGAGTGTGAAGGCACGTGTGCACCGAGCATGTCTGTGTGTGCGTGCACCTGTAAGAATGCAGGTGTGCACACAGCACGTGTGCAAGCGGTAGCAGCGTGCAGGGGCACTAACAGGCATGGACGTGTGTGTACCCACTGCCCTGCATGTGGTGGCTGTCACCATCGCTCTGCACACGCGTGTGCACAGACACCCTGGGCCCTGGGGACGACGACGCAGTGGGGCTGAGCCCCCTCCCGGGGCAGTGGGGGTGGCGGTGGGGGCGGGCAGTGTGGCTGGGGGCTGTGACCCCCCTCTGTCCGCCCCCCCGGCAGGTCAATGTTGAGGACACTGTCGAGATGCTGCCCAAGTCGCGGCGCGCGCTGACCATCCAGGAGATTGCTGCCCTGGCCCGCTCCTCACTGCACGGTAACGGCCCGGGGGGGCATCTGGGGAACGGGATGGGGGGGTGTCCTCTGGGCAAGGGGGCTGGGCTCCTGGGAAGGTCTTTAGGGACACCCCTCTGAGGTTTGGAGGGCTCCCCGGGGTCCCCAAAGGTACCATCGGGGTTCTTGGTGGCACCCAAAAGGAGGGTGTAGAGGTACCAGGTCCCAAGGGCTGGGGGTGAGAGGGGTGGGGGGGTCGTGGGCTCCACAGAGGGGGTGCCCGGGGGAGTACTGATGCAGGGGCACATCTTGCAGGCATCTCGCAGGTGGTGAAGGAGCACGTGACGAAGCCGACGGCCATGGCACAGGGCCGCGTCGCCCACCTCATCGAGTGGAAGGGCTGGTGCAAACCGGTGGAGCCGCCCTGCGCCCTGGAGAGCGCCTTCAGCTCCTACTGCCACCTGAGCGAGGGCGAGCAGGAGGCACGATTCGCCGCCGGTGGGCACCGCGCGGGGCACGGCCGAGGGCAGGGGTGGAGGGGAGGGTTGTCCCCATCCTTCTGTCCCTCATGTTAGGTCCCTCCATCCTTCCCTCCATCCTTCCTTCCATCCTTCCTTCCATCCCTCTTTCCCTCCCTCCCTCCATCTCTCCATCTCTCCATCCCTCTATCCATCTTTCTCTCCTTCCATCCCTCCCTCCTTTCCTTCCTTCCTCCTTTCATCTCTTCCTCCATCCCTCCATCCTTCCATCCCTCCCTCCCTTCTTCCATCTCTCCATGCTTCTATCGATCCCTCCCTCCTTCCATACCTCCTTTCATCCATTCCCTCCCTCCCTCCTTCCCTTCCTCCCTCCTTCCATCCATCCATCTCTCCCTCCCTCCGTCCTTCTATCCCTCCCTCCCTGGTGTTGTGGCACCCTGGGCAAAGAGCTGCGGGGGCAGGGGGGGATGTTGGGGACCCCCCCCAGTGCACGCGTGACGGGTGCCTGTCCCGTGCCAGGCGTGGCGGAGCAGTTTGCCATCGCTGAGGCCAAGCTGCGAGCCTGGTCCTCGGTGGACGGGGACGACTCCAACGACGAGTCCTATGACGAGGACTTCATGCCCTCCACGGAGAGCTCCCAGCCCAACGGTGAGTGCTGCGGGGAGCGGGCATCTGCGGGTCAGCAAGGTGTCCCCATGCCAGTGCCGGTGTCCTGATGCCAGTGTCCCGATGTTGGTGTCCGCATGCCAGTGTTGGTGTCCCCATGCCGGTGCCAAAGGCTGAAGGAGTGGGGTGCCCCGTGCCTGACCAAATTCTCCTGGCCATCCCCTCACGGGGCAGTGGCCCTGCCCAGCCCCACGGCATCCCTGCGCCCTCCCTGGAGCCAGGGCATGTTTTGTGTTCCCTTTGGTAGCCACCAGTGCCACGCACACAGTAATCTGGGCAAAGTGGGCACCGCGCCTGGCACGGGGCTGCTCCCACCCTGTGGGGCACAGGGTGGTGGGGGCCCTGGCAGCCACCCGTGCCGTCCCCCCCGCACCGACCCTGGCCGTGCTGTCTCCCCACAGAGCTGCCCGGCGTGGCACCCACCGGCGCGCTGCTGCGGGACCTGCTGCAGGGCCACCTCTGCCAGCTGGGGGGCCGGCACGGCTCCTGCGAGCCCGAGAGCGACTCCTCGCACACCCTCTCCCCCGAGACCCTCTGCTCCAGCCTCTGCAGCCTGGAGATGGTGTCCCCCACCGAACTCACTGCCAAACTGCTGGGCTCCCTGGGGGGATCGGGGGGGGAGGACCTGCTGCTGCCCAAGCTGCCCCCCCCGGCCAGCCAAAGTGCCTTGCGGGGCCTGGCACGGCTCCGGTGCCAGGACCCCCTCTACGCCGTGTCCTACGCCGACCCCTGCCCCTCGCCCGCCGAGGACGAGGTGGTGCTGAGCAAGGACTTCCCGCTCCGACGGAAAGTCTCCGACGTGGCGTCCTCCGGGGTGGCATCGCTGGAGGAAGAGGAGGAGGAGGAGGAGGAAGAGGCCGAAGAGCCCTGATGCCCCCCCCTCAGGGGTGCCCTGCCTCTCCTGGGCGGGGGTCCAGCCCCCCCCGCCGCCGTCCCCCCGGCCGGACCCTGCGCTGGGCGAGGGACGGGCCCCGCCGCTGCTCCCCGGGCACAGGGGGGGGCTCGGGGGGACACTGCAGTTCTGCCCCCCCCCAAGGCCAGTGTGCCCCCACCGTGCCCTGGCCCTGCTTGGCCACATCGTTGCCCTCCTGGATTTTTGCATGAGAGCGGGGAAGGGGCATGGGGAAGGGCTTGGGGGGGTCTGACCCCCACCCTGACACCCAGATGTGCCCCCCAAAACTGACGGGACTGAATCAGTGGGGCTGATTGTTCGCATGTTCTCTGCCCCCCAAACTGCCCCGGGCTCCCCTTTCAGGCACGGGTCTGCCCCCCCTCCCCCGTTGGCATGGCTGACCCCCCCGAGTGCCCCTGCCTGGCACCCTGGGCTCGGGGCGACGGGGGGTGGAATTTGGGGAGCGGGCGGGGGCG